AGGCTGAAAATGACCTTTCGACGTCAACTGACGTTACCGGACAGAACTTGAAATTTGGCGCCATTCCTGCAGAGACCTCTTCAGGAAGAGTTTGTCCGGTGCCGTTGATAAATGCGTCAATTTTCTTTATTTCGTCAAGACCGGGGTTTTTATACAAAACTGCATTTAATTTGCCACGAACCTTTTGCGATATTGAACTCGGAAGGGCGTTACTCTGTTCAATCATTTTTTCTAATATTTACATGGTGGTAGTATCTGTTATTTGATTACGAGATTTTCATAGTGAATCGTATCACCTCCTCTTGACGCTTTATGACTTCGTACAATTCGAAGACCAGTACTTAATATTTTGCATTTTTCTTTTAAATGTGTTTCAGTTACACGAGCAATGCTAAATCGTTTTCAATTAGGAAGAATCTTAATTTAACTAATTTATTTTTCAAACCATTAAAGTTTTAGTTCATTATTCTGATTCTCTTATCCATAGGCATAGGCCGGTGATGTCATCATTGCTGACTACTTCGCCGGGCTTCATCGGTATCCCACTCTTCGCCATGAAAGTGAGCGCCCTCCTTTCTGCCTCCAGCACCGATGGGATCTCTCCCATGAGCACCTGCATCGACACATCTTCAAACATGCCAGGAGTTTCACCCTTTCGCATCGCCTGAGAAGTACCCTTCCCACTACCGTACAAAGCGTCTGGCACCAAACGCTTGATCTGTATAGGGCACACGCAGTCAGTAGGCATTTAAACACACAGCGGACAGCCCGCTTGCCGTGCGCAGTACTCTTCGCAGGGGCCCTACTACTGTTAGTAGTTTGCCCTTTAATGCTTCGAGATGTGACCGAAATACCAACCTCTCTCCTACGTACACACCGAGGTATCGGTAACCTTCCCTTTAGCAGCATACAAAATGTCTTCTGGGTCGAAACGGAAACGCCAACCGTCTCTCCCCACCTCGCCGCTACACCTAGAACAGTATTATTTCGGTGTTTTAACTCCCTTCTTTTGTTTGTTACGTTTGTCCACCAGGGAGGTTTTGCGCTAGCAGACCGCCTAACCCTTCTCAAGATCTTCTCATTCGCGTCCACCATCCACCCTTGCAGCCGAGCAATTATCTTGCAATCCGGCAATTTCCCTGCCTTGCAGTTCACGCAGCTGATGGGTCTGTCGCAGGCCCTTTGCTGGTGACCACCACTCAGCACAGCGGAAGCAAAGCGTGGAGACTGTGCTTCTGCAGATCGCAGTCTTGTGCCCGAACCCTAGGCACTTGAAACGGCGTAGTATGTCGTCAATGTCTTCAACTCTGCATGACTGCATACGGAGGTAGACTCTTCTCTCTGCTAGTACGTGTTCTTTGACTAGACGGGTTACCTCGAGCATTATGCAGCACTCGCTGGACGGGTATGCACCACTTGTACCTTTTCGTACTGTAGGGACATTCCTCTTACTTCTAATCGCCACACGGGAGGTAAACTCTTCGGGTGGGATCACTCCCCCCCAGGTTTATGGATTGGAGGTCCCTGAGAACCTCCTGGTCTGATAGATCTGCCAGTACATCCTTAATCAGGATTTTTGGCTTCATCTTCTGTGGAGTGTTGACCGAGAGTTCCCGCTTCTTGAGCTCATTGCTCTTCCGTCTTCTCAGTGCCCATTTGTACGGGGCGGCTAGGTTTGGGAGCCTTAGCCTTGGTCGGTTTATCCTACGTTGGATTCCCTCTCTTAGCTTGTCCGCGAACGACACCTCTGGTTCTACCACCTAGGGAGCTGTTACTACCGGACGCGCCTCCATGGCGTTTTCTTTCTCAACGAGAGCCTCTAGAACAATGGCTCGGCGTGTCTGTCCAAGATGAACTTGGCCGCTACCTTAAGAGATCTTGTTGCCTTCATCGGGGACAAAGCTATGGAGACTCCCCGATCTGCTTCATCCTCTCTAGCTCTTTCGTCTTGCGGTCCTTGCAAGCTGCCCCCGTCTCCGGTTATCCTACGCTCTTGGGAGCCTCAGGCTTCTTAACGGGCATACCCTTGGGCCCTTCTGCGACCGACTCCTTCGGTTTCGGGACCCTCTCCACACTGACGACCAGGTTTTTACGGCTACAGCCTTAGCACCAGCCCCAGCCCCATTCCTGCTTTCCACCTTCCTGGGGGGATGTGGCTTTATTGCCCTGGAGGTTTTCACCCCTTCAGCAGGCTACCCCACCTTGTCGTCACCCTTGGCCTTAGTCTTGGGTTTGTCGACGCGAATACCCCCTCAGAGGAATCCGATTCCCGGGTCTTTATCACCTCCCCTTCAGCCAGGCTTGGGGTTCTCCCCCTCAGTGTGTACCGGGACCCTTGCCTGTGTGCTTAGCCAGCAACATACCGTTATTACGACGAGTTTTTGGCTTCGCACCACCACCTGTAGCGAGTTTTGGGCCCAGTGGGCGCTCTTCGCCCGCGGGTTGAACCTCCACAAGTTTGGGTTTCTCAGTGAACGGCCTCGTAGTTGCAGCATCGGACTCTCCGTCATACTCACGAGCTCTTCGCTAGCCGGTAGCCCTGGCAGAAACCTTACACCGGCATAGGGAGTCGACTCTGAGCAGTCGCTGAATAACGACCGGGCGGGGGTCTGCTTGCTCTTGCACCCCCATCTCTGCTGACTGCCCTTTCCGAGCATTTTTAAGGTGTCGCCCTCTAGCAAGGTCGGGCCCCCCCACCGTTACAAGGTGACAACCAAGGAGGGCGGCTGAAGGCAGGATATTATCTCAACGGTTTTTGGAGCGACCGGTGTGGGGGAGGGTTTTTTAAGGGGTACAGACCGGCCGCAGAAAGAATAAAGCCAGACTGCGTGGCAACAGTTGGCCGAGTGAAAAAATTTCATGCAACGGTGATATTAGGCGACATCTTTAGTGGCTCTTTTTGACTCAACTTTTACATTGAGGCCGCAGAGCTGGCCATGTTCGAAGATTGTCTTGAATTTTTGGGAGGACTTGTCCAGATGAACGAACACTAATGACAAGTTTTTTCCATTGTAGTACATTCGGTGGACACTACGGATAGCGAAGTCTCTATGAACTACTTTGGTTTGGATATTGTCAGTGGAGATGGTTTCACAGACTCCACGGAGGACGACGTGAAGTTATCTATCTTGCTGGAGTTGATTGGTTGATAATGCAGCCTTGGATTCGTCGAGGTAATGCCGTAATTGTCTACGTCTCAATGAATTTTTGGCCAAAGGGACTTACGGCGTATAGCGATGCGGTGGGGGAGCTTTAGAGCCTTGGCTCGGTTGTCCATCTTTTGACTTCGTGTTGGTTGACGATGTTGAAAATTAAAAGGAAATGCAGTTCGTCTCCAGCGTTTGCTTCGTCGCTTTTCAGCTTTGAAAGAGAAAAATCTCTCCAACAAAATATTTAATATCGAAATTCCTTTTTTTCGGGCTTTCTGTTCAGCGAAAGTGTTTCACTTGATCATTTAGTTCTTTAAAATTACCCTTATCAGTAAATTATGGCAGAGATTGAATATTTGCCACACCAAAACATGTTTTACTTTGATTTTTGCTTGTACGTGGTTGTGGTTGTTCTGGATCAGGATATTCACTGTTATTAGGTTATTTATTCTAGAAAAATTTATAAATCATTGTAAATATATTTTAAAAGTCTTCTCGAGACCCGAATAAATTTTGTAAAAAGTTAGTATTAATTTGAGTCGCGTACCATATGAACGTCCTTAAAAAATAAAAAGCTGGGATTCCTCAAGCATCACTAGCTCGTGCCACTTGATAATTGATTTGTATAATTCGTGAATGTCCTTGAATTAATATCTACCCGTGGCATTTTGCCATCTTATTTTACACCACTGCGTTGCGTATTGTTACTGTAGATCCAATACGTTCAAACATTTTGATCAATTTCGTAATGACATCGTGGCTCAGTACTAAGTAGGAAATGGGAGAAATACAGACGACGCAGTGTCACTAGAATTATTGTTCTGGTGAAATACTCATACTAAAAGAAAGCCGCGATTCTCGAAGTTTTACCTGCAAAAAGCACATTACTCTCCGGTAATCGGTTCCATTGCCACTGAAATTCCTTTACTCGTTTTACAGTTTGATGCCCCACTTCGACACTATCCCCACCACGTCTGAGCGTATGCGGTTTAACAAAGTTCTGATACCCTTTTTGGACACCTTATACATATCTTTAATATTCGGGATCGATGTTGGAAGGTAGTGAATAAAGTGGCTATATGGGTAAATATTCGAAGTCCAGACAAAGCACGAAGAAAAAGAAGATTGTAATCTGCCCATATCTTTGTATCCAATAAATCTGAATGTCGATTATATTCTTTTGCAATTTTTGTTGTGTGTATACGCTGACAAAGAAGAATTTACGCTAATACTACATACGCAGACGGTGATAGATCATTTTCTAATTGATTTTTCAAATGTCTCTCAATTTAAGCCGATACCGTGATACACTTTTACACGCATGGAAAGAGGTTTTAGATGATAAAAATGAAACAAATTGGTACGCAATTTGTAATACAGTTTATAATTTTTCCATAACTTAGTATTTTTCAGGGCGTTATTTGGGTATGAAGGGCAAACAAATACACTTAAGGTAGTTTCTACAGGTTCTGGTGGAATAGAAGAGCTCACAGAAGAACTAAATAGTGGCAAAATAATGTATGCATTTTTAAAAATAACAGATCCAAAAACATCTCTTCCAAAATATGCTTTAATAAATTGGCAAGGAGAAGGTGCTCATACACTTCGTAAAGGAATGTGTGCAAATCACTTACGTGATATAGAAAATTTCTTCAAAGGTGCACATCTTACGATTAATGCTAGAAGTGAAGATGATCTTGATTCACAAACAATTGTTGATAAATTGGCCAAGAGTGGTTCAGCAATCAAGCTCATAACTCATAGAAGTGAAATATCGGATGTGAAAACACCTGTAGGTACCAATTATAAAAAGGTAAACCCTGTTGCAGAAATTAATTCGAATGAAAGAGACCAGTTTTGGCAAAAGGAAGAACAGGAAGAGAAGAAAAGGAAGGAAGAAGAGAGGAAGCGAAAGGAGCATGAACGTCAAATTATTGAAGAAGAATTCAAACAGAGGGGAATTCATGAGGGTACTGAATGGAATAATAAGACTGATGTTTTTAGTCAAAATGACGAAAAAGACTATGCTAAATCAAACCCAAGTCCAAGAAAATTGGTAAATACTTCAATTTTTGAACAAAGTGCAGTTCAAGTTAAAAAAATACCAGAAAAACCTGTACGTAGTTCACTTTTAAAAAGTCAAACACAACCATTTTCTCAAACAAGTGTTGAAGTAAATCCAACTTGTACCCAAGAACAGTACGTATATTAAGTAATCTTGTACCTGTATCTATTCCTTATATTTATTTTTCATAAATGATTATGCAAATTTTAGTGTTTCAGAACCACTTCAACAAAAGCAACAAATAACAGAAAGCAAGTCATTTGATGAAGGACAAAGTGATGAAGATTCTGATCAATTTTCAACTATAAAACGTTCACCAAGAGATCCTCAGAAAAATGTAAATACTGATAAAGATAAAAGTTTGCACAATACTGAATTTATCCAACAAATTACTGAGCAACAGTTTGTTGATGAGGTAATTTATCAAGATTTAGTTGAAGGACCAGGCTTACAAGCTCGTGCACTTTATGATTATCAAGCAGGTATGATAATGTTTATTAATAACAATTTATTTTGTGGTTTTACATTTTCTATATTTTAAATAGTTAATAACAAGTATTGAATAACAACAGTAATTTATCATTTCTTAAATGAGTATATGGATAAATAGTAATTGTTGGTTTCAAAGAATTCAGTTAAATTCTTCATAATTGTTTATTATTCGTAGATTCATTACATTAAGATTGTTTGGTATTAATATCTTAAATTTTATTTGAATATTATGAGAATTTTGGTCAAGAAAATTGGATTTACTATTTACGTTTTAATTTAACACCATTATTATTAATTAATTACTTCTGTGCTACAATATCGCACATCTTATGAACTTGTTTGCTCTTCTTATTATGTCTTCTACCTATCTAGACTGGTTTTATTTGATACAAGTAAGATCTAGGCAATTCATCATATGCCTTTGATGCTTCTTCACTTATGGTGGTTTGCCTGCAGGAGAAAAGAATTAATCACTAAAAATAACTATACCGTTGAAAAAAATTTTGATACTAGCAGTGGTTTATTTTTTTTCATTTATATGTAAAAAATGATACTGCCATTGCTTATTTACTGCAATATATATTGCTATCGCTAATATTGCCAGTTTAACTCTTCTACTACTTGGTAGGCCCATGTATAAAAAAAAGCAGAAGGGTCCAACTCATTATTATTAAAATTGATCGCGTCTCTGTAGTTAGTATCTCGTCTGGTAATGTGAGGTGTATCATATTCACCAATCTTTTAAAACTATAAACTCTTGATCCTTGAGAACTTAAAAGGATGTATGAACTCCATATCTTTTTCGTTTTACTCTTTTTTCTATCGTAAATACCGCCACATGATACACATTTCGTCTCCTTCAGACGACGTTCTTCACGTATTGCTCGATGGTGGGTGGTTTCAGTAAAGCTCATGAAAAAAGAGATATTAAATACAATTAGTGTAACAATACAAGAAGTATAATAATTTACATTCTGAATACACTGTTACTAAATAATAATAAATTGTTGGCTTCAGCGGATGATACAGAAATTACATTTGATCCTGGTGATATCATTACAAACATTGATCAAGTGGATGAAGGATGGTGGCAGGGACTTGGTCCTGATGGAACTTATGGGCTATTTCCAGCGAATTATGTTGAGTTGATTAATTAATGTAAACATTAATACATTATTTAATGTAAATGTATATGAACCTTATTAAAACTGAATCAACAAAGAGAGAGGGAAAGCAACAGAAAAATTAATGACAAATGGTGCGAATTTTGCTAACGATGGGTGATGGTCGAGAGGTGATACAAGTTAAACTTTTTTAGAGTATTATTTAGTCATTTATTAATATTTATACGCCATCATTACTTCTAGTTATCAATAGTATTACATCATAAGTGATTATAATATTGTCAGAATGTATACAGTACTTGTGTAATTTGGTATACTCAATTAAAATGTTTTCTAATGATTGTGGCTCATATAAACATTGTTTTCTTGTATACTCTTATCCTAATAAGTTACTACAGTAAGGCAGCGGTTCTCAAACTCTTATTGAGGTGAGTGAAAATATTTTGATGGATTTTTCAGAAATATCAGACATAATTATATCTAAAAATAACTAAAAAATTAAAACATTTTGGAAAAAAGAAAAATCTTGTGAATTGAAATTGACTTTGCTAACTAGCAGTAGTTACAAAAAGATCGAGTAGATTAAAGTGTGACTTTCAGCTAACCCACTGACGTAAAATTGACGTGATTTCTTGGTCACTCATTACGTCACAATTACCTAGTGCGTCATAGGGAAACGGTTGGGCAGATAGTATGGGCGAATATCTTTCTTTTTGGTATCCAATTTCAAATGTGCCAATATTTGCTCATTGACCTGCTATAAATAACGTAAGATTAATGAGAAAAATCTGTAGTGGGTAAAATTAATTCACTAATACATCGAATTAACGCTACAAAAATTCAAAAGCATTTCATTTGATTATTTTGTTTGAAAATTTTTACTAACATTCGCATCACTTTTTGAAAGTTTGTTACAATAAAATAAACCAGAACCGATAAATCCAGTTATATACTTATACTTGTTTCATTTTCTGAACTGATAGAACCTGGCGAGTCGTCATACATCTGAACTTTAGCAGTTTGGTTTGAGTGTGGTGTAAAACCCTTTGAGGTGTCTATTGGTATTGATATATTAGTCTATTAGTGTACAAAGCTTTAGATATTCACCCATGGTACCTATCGCATCCAAAATAAATCTTTCCACTTGTCTTTAACAAACCTTTTCATCTTTTTGGAGTGCTTTCTCAAAAATGTGCTGGTTTTTATATGGAGGTCTAAAATTTAACGTTTTCGGGGGTCAGCCACGAATTATGCACCAAAGCTGTCTGACCTCCTTCTTGGTCATTCTCTGTCAAAAATTGTATCCCACGAACGTTCCCTCCTACAGCACCGAATACATTTCAGAATTTCGAAATATCTAATACATTAGGGTGACCATTAATAGGATTGTTAATTACTGTTTTATGCTGTATTAATGTAGAAACAAAAAACAGTATCACAATATGAAAAAATGGGGTATAATTAGTGAATGAGTACCATTTTTGCGAAAACCACTAGCGGAAACAATCCCAATAACCACATTAAGCGTCAAAAGGCTTAAACCCATGATGGCATTTGCACTTACAATTAACTGTATTACTGGATAACACGACCGCCATTTGAATTTCTGTTCCTTCAAACGCGTTTGAATACATTTAAATGGTACCTTAATTTTGTACACGGCAAATGTAGTTGTATAATATTTATGGAGAAGTTTGTTAATTATTTAATCGAATATGCTTCTACAATCTAAGGATTTTTTGATAGGGGAGGGTTCTGCAGTATCGTCACCGTAAGTATTAGAATATAACAAAAAATGCCAGCATTAATTATTAAAATTACTTTTGAAATAGGCAGGGACACACTGTTTATACAACTATTACTAATAAAACAACAATAAACTTAAAAAATAAAATTTTTATTCATCAAATTGCCTAACAGAATAATCAGTAACGCAAAATAAGTGCCTGTTAGTATCGACCGGCGAGAATATGAATTAATATGTAATGCAATAGTTACAAATATAATTATTCGACAACTCTGAAATGATGACACAAGCCTCGTGGATCCATATTCCAAGTTCCACACTGGATCGATCCTCATCGTGTAACTCCAAGCACATAGGGCATATTATCTCTTTGTCAGCTGCATTTTGCGGTCTATTTTGTTTTTCTTTCTTAGGTTTTTTGCTTTTTCTACTAATGTCTTTCCCATACTTCAACGCCTCAACTTTTTCTTTTTCAAGTTTCTTCTCTTCTAACATATTCTTATATGGAGAATCAATAAAAAAATCTCCCTTTTGTTTGCTTTACGACGTCTTCGTTTTGAAGCGTTAGGAATTGGTGATAATTCTGTTACAAGCATTTGAAAATCGTTAATTGATTGTTCTGATGAAATCTGCATCTAAATGTTTGTGATACGAAGGTGAGTGTTTTGGTTGACGAGAAGTTGAAGGTTGAAATTCTGCGAAGCCCTGAGAAGCTGTGGTTTGTGGCGTTGATGGGCGAGAATTTACAGTCCAATTTTCAGAGAAGCTGATGGACAAGGAGTTGTATGTTGAGCTGACTGATGAATTTAGTTAGACAGTGATTGGTAATCTTCTCTGTTGGTCATATCTGACGGAAGAAAATCTAAATTAAAACTGACGAGATGACCCACGTAGTCACTTCTTCATGAAATATAGGAACTATATGTTTATTTGTTTTTTATCTGAAGACTATGCCACTGTTGGCTTACCTCGACGATTTAAATTAAATATTATATTTCCAATACCCAGTTTAAATTTTTTCAAATTCATGTGTTTGGAATCCGGATTAATTGCCTGAAATTGACGTCTGTAAGGAATCCAACTGTTATTTACAGATAGATATGGGTAATAGTACATTGTTGTTTCATTTCAAAAATTCTTCGGAATTATAAAAACTTGTTAGAAAATTATTCCACAAAAATGCAATCAGGTCAAGAGACGAAAAAAAGTTATTGAAGTACACGACTGATAATGGTTTATTTTTTATTAATTGACAAGTCAAAACAAAGTGATTTTCTTTGTAAAATTATGCCTGTAAATTTTTTTTCAACCTGACAAAACAAAAAATCATAAAAAAAACCGAAAATACCAGCCTTTATAAATACTTTTAAACCCCGTTTCTTTAGCTTTTTAGGCATACATTGTCGAAGTGATCCTGCCCTTGTTTCCTTATAAAGTGTGGCTTTATCGTTTTGGCGATTTTCGTCCCCACGGTAGCCTAACCCACAGTACCGTCTCCCTTGATCTTCGTCTTGGATTTATCCCCGACAGGGATCGATGGGTCGATCTTTCCCTCAGAAGAGTCCGATTACTGGATCTTTCTTTCTATCCCATCAGCCAGGCTCATAACTTTCCCCCTCAGGCTAGTACGGAAAACCCAAGCCCGTCACCTCAAGCCGACGTAGAGGTGCCTCTCTCATCTCTGAGCAGTTACAGCATGACGACCGAGCGGAGGTGTACTCTTGCACTCCCATTCCTGCCGGCTTTATCCTTTCTGAAGGGGCGTAAGGAGTAGCTTTGTCCTTCTTTTGTTCCATATTCATGGCTAAGTTCTGGTTGTTCTTAAGGCATTAATGGCAAGCACGGTTGGGCCCCCCATCACTACAAGGTGACAACCAAGGGAGGGAAGTCTGTGATACTGGAATCACGGATATCTTTTCTCAAATACGCGGTCACTGAAAGGGAGGGGGAGGTTAACGGAGCAATCGGTTGTCCGTCAGCGTTGCAAAGTACAGGCCTGACGCTGGAAGCTGGCGGAAATTTTAAAATGGCGTGGATGCGCGGTGGCAAAAGTAGGCAGTTTTAGGTATAAAAATTGCAGCCCTCACTCTTCAGTATTCCTATCAGGGGCGTAGATTATATATTTAAAAATAGGGATCAGTGACCAAGTAATAGACAAACAAACAGAAGAACTAATTGTTGATGTTGGTGACAGTGATAGAGATTCCAATGATGACAGTGAATGTGAAAACTAACTATAAAACAAAAGCAATAGGTTAATGTTTTCTTTTTGAAAAGTCATGTTTTTACATTATTTTCTAGTACGCTAAAAATAGGGATCGGTGAGCAAGTAATAGACATACAAACAGAAGAACTAATTGTTGATGTTGGTGACAGTGATAGAGATTCCAATGATGACAGTGAATGTGAAAACTAACTATAAAACAAAAGCAATAGGTTAATGTTTTCTTTTTGAAAAGTCATGTTTTTACATTATTTTCTACGCTACTGTCCTGTCTGTATTAATACTATAATTTACGCCTACTGAAAGCTTATTTGTGTATCGGTTCCAAGTGACTTAGCCAAATAAGTCATAAATGGGCAAGTACCTGCGCAATAGCTAGCCAGCTTCCTTCGTCAGACCTGTAGCGTCCGTTGCTTTTCGATTCCACTCGAGAGTGGTTATAAAATGGGAAGTCGTTTGGGGTCTCACTCCCTTAGCAAGATTATGAAAGCACACCGAGTCACTTTTGTTTGTACTTTGTTAGTGCTTACCTTACCGATTAGTAAATAATAGATACATTGTTTTTTTGATACAGTTTTCTGTTTGGAGATTTTTTTGATCGAACATCTGTATGTACCAGGTACATTTGAAGACGCTCTGATGTCGGCAAAAAATGCTGGAATGTCCCCTATGTTTGCTTCAGTTAAATAAACTGTCGGTTTTGGCTTATTATATGTATAATGAACCATAAAACGTTGGTTATGTATTTACCATAGGCATCTTTAAATGATGTAGAATTAGTATAACATAAGTAGGCCCTAAATGGATCGTTGTCAAAAACTTTAGGTTCATATCTTATCATCTTTTCAGATGCGTTATCCTAATTCCTAAGTCAAATGATTCACTGTTTGTTGGTTTTGCTTTCAATTCTTTGTAAAATTGAGTGTAATTTTAATTTGGTTTTTGGGCATCATCATGTGAGTTCGCCTATTTCTTTTATCTTCAACATTTTGTATCAGCAAAGCCCAAGGAGAAGTGTTTATATATGAAATTACATCTCTAGCCTCTCTTCCTAATCTATTTTTAATTCCATGCAAAATACTTACTAAAATTTACATTATTGTAATAAGTAGTTAGAGCAAGTTCACAATCTCCAAAATAAAATGGAAACAGATTGATGTTGGTAAATGCATCATTTAAACAAAATACTTTTTATTCAGAAGTTGTCATGGTTAAAATTGGCGATGATAATTTTGGTGGTGCAAGATTTATTTTTAATTCTGAGCCATGGGCTAAATTTAATTATTCTTCAGTGTCTGAATTGTCAGAGATGGTTGAAATGAAAAAGCGTTTTAATTTGTTTTGTAAATCAGAAAGAGAACAATGTGAGAATTGGTACTTACTAGGATTAAAAAAGTACGAAATAAGTTATCATCGTTCTTCGTCTGAACTCTTTGTGCATGAAGAAAATCGAAATCCCTAACGTGTAAATAACATCGAAATCCCTAACGTTGATCCCTGTTGTTTTGATTCTTGTTTTTTCTTTCTGAAATGATCGCAGCCAATGTTGTTTACTGGTCGTCCAGACTGTTGTTGTTGACTATTGATAGATACACGTATATGCAGCGCAAGTATTATGTACTCGCGTACCGAAAGAAGTTCGAATCGGAAAGTAAAGAAAATAGAATTCATCGAAATCATAATGCAAATACACTTTGTGAATCGTTTTTTCCAATTCTGTTCCCAATGTCGGTGATGTTCACGAGTTCGAGAAAGAAATTCTTAAAAATTGATTAAAAACGAATAAAACATTAGTTTTATTGAAATGTAACCTACTTCTTCTAAGTATAAACTGTTAAAGTTAATTAACAAAGAAAACTTTATATGTACAATATGAATATCTGTTTGTGTTAACTTTTAGACACCTTTATTGTGTTATCGCTTTCTGCTCCGATACCGGATGTTTTGTCTAATAAGCAGGTTCGCAAAACAGCAGCGGTGGACAGCAGCGAATATAATATTGTTTTAATAGTTAGTTCTAGATCTGCCTTCTGTACAACAGTACATGTTTCATTAAATATATTTTCTTTTATTATTCTTGGCTATTATCACTGTGTGTTATTACTGGCAATACTCCAGAGCCGGGCAAACTTTAACTTCGCAGGAGCCGCTACATGAGTTTAGTTTGAGTCACTCCATACCCTTCAATGAGTACGAGAGAGTAAGCAGTAATCAATAATTTTGTTTTGTCTTTTTCTTCTCCCTTCCACTCCCATATCAAGCCCCTTCATCCCGAAGACGAGCGAAGCCACTCTCGCAACTTAAATAATAATTTTCGTTACTACGTTCGCAAAACTATTGGGTTTGGCTATGGAAGAGGAGACTCATCTACGAAATGGAAGGGATAAGAAAAGGAAAGAATCATCTCACTCGCACTCGCAGGATCAATGAGGATCCACTTGGTTAACCTTGAGGATCTCTCGGGATGCAAAAGATCCGAGTTTGCACGGCTCTGCAATACTCAACATAAACCAGAAAAGCAACATAAACATAAAATACAGTTGTGAACAATTGAATCATTCTGGGTCATTGGCCTTTAATTTATCTTGGTTAACGATAGAATAATGTCTCGATTGCGATAAATCTTGGTGTTTATATTAATAATGTGTGAATTAACTAGTTAGGACTAAACAACTACCCTCATCAATAAATCTACTCTCCCATTTCGCCAACTTAAAAATGTACCGTCATATATAAAAACTCGATTTCTAGTAATGCACATTCTTGGATCCTATTTATTCGAAGACTGCATTCTAAGAGTGCGCACTACATCTAAGTAGGTTTTTGCTAAAAGAAATTGTAATAATACTCCTCAAATCTCTTATAAGATGTCCTAATTTCGCGAAACCACTTTTCACATTGTTTACATTGTGTTAGGTTCGTGCTTGGGGTCGTAATAAACTTCCTTGCATGCTGGGCAGATGCCATTTATTTCTTTAATAGTTGAACTTAATTTTGGCTCATTCATTATGTCACTATTTTGTTTCTTTTTCATTTGTTGCTTTCTTGCTTGTTGCTTTTTCTTTTTCATTACGTCATCCTGGTTCAGTGCATCCTTGTTAGTATCTCTGGCTTCTTTTCTTCCTTGTTTTCTTTTCCTATTATTCTTTGTCGTCTTTTCCAATGCGCTGCCGTCCATATAATGGCGCCTGGTAATTTTACCAGAGAGAAATAAGGAAAAGCAAACACCAGTGATAATAATTTAATAAGTATAACAAAAAATATTAGCTAATACATTTTTCAATATTAAAAATTCGGGAAAACAACAGCATAATGGTTAATAATTAAAATTTTAAAGAAGTTGGTTGTGGTGTAGAAACACTAGCTTCCCAGCCCGATTCACATTAAGCCGATTCTGTTTTTAGTTTTTCGTATAAGAGGTCTACCTCCTAAAAAAGACGTTCACTGTTTATAGAGGTGAAAGGTGTGTATAAAAGATGAGCTCCAATATTCTTCAAAATGGGGTTCTGTCCGTTATAGAAGCACTCTACGTGTATGGATTTGTATCTTTCAACACCAGCGAAGTTTATTTTATGGTTCAATTCAGATGCAGTAGTATTTTTAGGACATTTATTCGATTCCCTGCTTTCACTGCCCGTTTTCCGAAATTTCTCATCTGCAGACCTACATTATTAAAAATAAAATAACAATAGTTAGCAATAGCTGCTACTTGCTTGCCAAACGTTTCTTTGTTTTTTTTTTGTTCTTGCAAACCCAAGCTTCCTTTCCAACTTCTGTATATACTTACATTACTTCTGAAGAGTACGATAAACTTTTGATCTGTCTTCTCACAACCTTTCTATTCCTCTTCTTCTGTCTAGAGCGCCGAGCGCCATGAGTCCATTATTTAGCATTCGGGAGGACGCTGGTTCGATTCCGGGCCCATCTGCCTTGGTCCAAGTTTTTCTGTGGTTTCCTTGGATCACTTACGCAAAAATGTTGGGGCAGTAGTATTATAGAGATAATCTTTCATTCTCTTCTGTCTTCATTTCGTCTGTTTAATCTTTCTCGCTCGAACCCCCTCTCCATTTCCACGATTCCTGAAAGGAGGCTGAAGAGGTCCTTCCGCCCTACCTTCCGGCGTAGTTCGGAGGGACTGCCCATCCGCCAGCATTGGTGGCTGGTAGCAATAAAACACCCAAAAGGTTCTTTTTTAGTCGCAGCAAAGGCGCTCTCTTTCCGTTTTTGGTTTCGCTTTTTAGTTTCAAAAATGTATCCCTGTGGTGTTCGCTTTTTTCTGGCTGTTTAGCTGTTCATAATTTGGCCTATTTTTGCTTCTACCTTTCCGTAGCTAGAGTTTTGTCCTTGAGAGAAGAAATATCCAGAGAACACATAAAATATGATTTTATTGATATGTTAAGTACATTCTACAATTCTTTTCTATATTTTCGCACTAAGCCGCTCAAGAATGCTAAAATTACCAAAATCAGTTATGTTGAATCATCTCCCATCGTTTGATCGGCTGATGCTTTACCAGGCAGCCGGCTGTTTGGTAAAATTGGTCACTTTACGTCCTTTGCTCTAATTCAATTTGGAAAATCGGTTATTATAACCTTT